ACATAACAGTAAGGCCGCACACATCCCTCCGGTGTTGAAGGCTGTTGAAATGACAGGTCTGTAAAGGCTGGGTCCAGGCAAGAGATGAGTCGTCTTGCTCTGCTCGCTATTGTATTGGAAGTCGTAGATGAGACGAGGGGCAGGCAGTACAAGGAAGTGGAGCATACTCGAGGAGTGAGCACACTTGTGCCTCGTACAGTCTTGCAGCTCAACTGTCAAGCAGATGCAATTTCTCTCTCTCTCTCTCTCTCACACACACACACACACACACACACACACACACACACACACACACACACACACACACACACAGAGCTGGGTGGAGCAGGTGTGTCAGACTGTCTGGTGTATTAAAGCAAATCACTTCGCCCTTAACTCACACAGAACTAGCCACATTGAACGATGATATCCAGATTCAGAACGTTCCTTTATTATTCCAGAATTTCCACAATATTTCGAGCCTATACAGCTCATATAAGTTTAACACTTCAACCCTCTCATTATTTTTAGATTGCACTGATGTATATATATATTTTTTTTTTTTTTTTTTACGAATTGTTCTACTCGTATATTTGAACAAAATCCGTAGGTTAAAGAAATAAAACATATATATTAGTTTATTTTATTCTTTTTTTTTTTGACATTTCGTTTTTTATAGAAATGATAAACTTTTAAAAGAGAAAAAATATGTACAGGAATTTTAGATATATATTTCTGAAGTATTTTTGTGGAAAATAAAAAAAAAATACGTGGACAAAATAGACTGAGACATAACACAAAACTGTTATAATCACGTATGAATATAATTTATAATTGCATTATTAAGATAAATATCGAAATACATTATACCACCTAATGTGAACATTATAAATACTGCACTTTTAATATCTTCACTTATACTCGTTACTTATAGTGTGAAGTAGTGTTCCTATAAGTATACTGGCCTCTTGTAACTCCAGAGTTTTACTTTTGGGTTGATAGGGAATACGTACTTTATTTTTAGTAAGTTTATAGTTGTGTGTGTGTGTGTGTTATAGCTACAGGAAGGTGTGTGTGCTGGTGGTGCTCAGTTTTCAGTACTGTGTTTGAGCGAGTTTTACAATTTGTGTTAAAAAAAATATATATGGATGTTACCCTTCATGCCAGTGGATATTAACATATGTAATCATTGTCTTTAATTAAGGGATAGGCCTCTGAAATGCCATCACCTCCCATAGTCCTAAATTTGGTGTCAGGAGGTAAGGCTTTTGAGCAAATGGTCACATGGCTTTGTACAGTCCTCATCGCCTAGCCTATGGCTGTATAATGTATTCAGTGAAACTATGGACGCAACTATTGCTTCTGGGCTATTTGGCTTGCAAAAAGTTGTTTGTATGGTGGCAGTGGTGTGTTTTAGGATGCCACGGGGTCTTGGAGACGTACATCACGACACACTGCTACTACCCTCGCACTCCCTGTCAGCCTCGCACATTATCTGCTACCCTCGCACTCCCTGTCAGCCTCTCACATTATCTGCTACCCTCACACTCCCTGTCAGCCTCACACATTATCTGCTACCCTCGCACTCCCTCTCAGCCTCTCACATTATCTGCTACCCTCACACTCCCTGTCAGCCTCGCACATTATCTGCTACCCTCACACTCCGTCAGCCTCGCACATTATCTGCTACCCTCGCACTCCCTGTCAGCCTCACACATTATCTGCTACCCTCACACTCCCTGTCAGCCTCACACATTATCTGCTACCCTCACACTCCCTGTCAGCCTCCACATTATCTGCTACCCTCACACTCCCTGTCAGCCTCGCACATTATCTCTACCCTCGCACTCCCTGTCAGCCTCGCACATTATCTGCTACCCTCGCACTCCCTGTCAGCCTCACACATTATCTGCTACCCTCAGCACTCCCTGTCAGCCTCACACATTATCTGCTACCCACCACTCCCTGTCAGCCTCACACATTATCTGCTACCCACACACTCCCTGTCAGCCTCACACATTATCTGCTAACCCCACACTCCCTGTCAGCCTCCACATTATCTGCTACCACACACTCCCTGTCAGCCTCACACATTATCTGCTACCCACACACTCCCTGTCAGCCTCACACATTATCTGCTAACCACCACACTCCCTGTCAGCCTCACACATTATCTGCTAACCACCACTCCCTGTCAGCCTCACACATTATCTGCTAACCCACACACTCCCTGTCAGCCTCACACATTATCTACTACCCCACACTCCCTGTCAGCCTCACACATTATCTGCTACCCTCACACTCCCTGTCAGCCTCTCACATTATCTGCTACCCTCACACTCCCTGTCAGCCTCACACATTATCTGCTACACCACACACTCCCTGTCAGCCTCACACATTATCTGCTACCCTCACACTCCCTGTCAGCCTCACACATTATCTGCTACCCTCACACTCCCTGTCAGCCTCACACATTATCTGCTACCCTCACACTCCCTGTCAGCCTCACACATTATCTGCTACCCTCGCACTCCCTGTCAGCCTCACACATTATCTGCTACCCTCACACTCCCTGTCAGCCTCACACATTATCTGCTACCCTCACACTCCCTGTCAGCCTCACACATTATCTGCTAACCACACACTCCCTGTCAGCCTCACACATTATCTGCTAACCACACACTCCCTGTCAGCCTCACACATTATCTGCTACCCTCACACTCCCTGTCAGCCTCACACATTATCTGCTACCCTCACACTCCCTGTCAGCCTCGCACATTATCTGTACCCACACACTCCCTGTCAGCCTCACACATTATCTGCTACCCCACACTCCCTGTCAGCCTCACACATTATCTGCTACCCACACACTCCCTGTCAGCCTCACACATTATCTGCTACCCTCACACTCCCTGTCAGCCTCACACATTATCTGCTACCCACACACTCCCTGTCAGCCTCCACATTATCTGCTACCCTCACACTCCCTGTCAGCCTCACACATTATCTGCTACCCTCACACTCCCTGTCAGCCTCCACATTATCTGCTACCCACACACTCCCTGTCAGCCTCACACATTATCTGCTACCCCACACTCCCTGTCAGCCTCGACACATTATCTGCTACCCTCACACTCCCTGTCAGCCTCACACATTATCTGCTACCCTCACACTCCCTGTCAGCCTCCACATTATCTGCTACCCACACACTCCCTGTCAGCCTCACACATTATCTGCTACCCTCACACTCCCTGTCAGCCTCACACATTATCTGCTACCCACACACTCCCTGTCAGCCTCACACATTATCTGCTACCCTCACACTCCCTGTCAGCCTCACACATTATCTGCTACCCACCACTCCCTGTCAGCCTCCACATTATCTGCTACCCACACACTCCCTGTCAGCCTCACACATTATCTGCTACCCACACACTCCCTGTCAGCCTCACACATTATCTGCTACCCACAACTCCCTGTCAGCCTCACACATTATCTGCTACCCTCACACTCCCTGTCAGCCTCACACATTATCTGCTACCCTCCACTCCCTGTCAGCCTCACACATTATCTAGCTACCCACACACTCCCTGTCAGCCTCACACATTATCTGCTACCCTCACACTCCCTGTCAGCCTCACACATTATCTGCTACCCACACACTCCTGTCAGCCTCACACATTATCTCTACCCTCACACTCCCTGTCAGCCTCACACATTATCTCTACCCTCACACTCCCTGTCAGCCTCCACATTATCTGCTACCCACACACTCCCTGTCAGCCTCACACATTATCTACTACCCTCACACTCCCTGTCAGCCTCACACATTACCTCTGCTACTGCACTCCTGTCAGCCTCACACATTATCTACTACCCTCACACTCCCTGTCAGCCTCACACATTACCTGCTGCTCATACACTTCCTGTCAGCCTGCCTTTCTCTACCTCACCAGTGGTCGGCTATTCAAGCATTGTTTCTCTTGCCTTAACTCTTCTAACACGTCACTATATGCCTCGGTTAACAATTAATGCAATATCAGAACCTGTCATGTCGACAGTGTGCGTGTACTTCTATCACTGTCGTGGTGCGCCAGCATTCGTTGTCGTGATCTCCTACTAGTCCGTAGCTGAATTTTTACCCACCTCCCTGTAAGCTCTCACCATTTCTATGCTCCTGTAGTAAGTATCTTTTTATTGACGAACTGTTGTCGGCTCACATTCCTAGCTGGAAGTTGGGGGTAGACCCGGCATTTCTTGGTATCAATCTATAACATATCTGCATGTAATCCTTGTTCACTCGCTACTGTATTGCATGACTCCATGTCAGCTTCTTTAATGTTATGGCAATCTGTAGAACATTCTTCTGTAAACCTAGGTCTGCATAAAGCCATGAGATTATATTTAATCACGTACGCTAATTATTCAAACATATGCCTGCGATATTATGGAGACGATCCCGTCAGCCCAGCACATTATCTGAATCACACCCCTGTCACCTACAATTGTTGCAGCATCACATCTGTCAGCCCACAAACTTATTGCTACCCTCACACTCCTGTCAGCCTCGCACATTATCTACTACCCTCAACACTCCCTGTCAGCCTCACACATTATCTGCTACCCTCACACTCCCTGTCAGCCTCACACATTATCTGCTACCCTCACACTCCCTGTCAGCCTCACACATTATCTGCTACCCTCACACTCCCTGTCAGCCTCACACATTATCTGCTACCCTCACACTCCCTGTCAGCCTCACACATTATCTACTACCCTCACACTCCCTGTCAGCCTCGCACATTACCTGCTGCTCATACACTTCCTGTCAGCCTGCTTCTCTCAGCCAGTGGAGGCTTATTCAAGCATTGTTTCTCTCTGCCTTAACTCTTTCTATACACGTCACTAATGCCACGGTTAACTAATAAATGCAATTATCAGAACTGTATGTTCGACAGTGTGCGGTGTATATTCGTTTAGACTGTGACGTGGTGCGCCAGCTTCGTGTGTCGTGAGTCTCCTACTGTCCGTAGTGAATTTTCCACCTCACTTGTAAAGCTCTCAGCATTCTTGCTGGGTAGTAGTATCTTTTTGTTGATTGACTGTTGTGGGTCACATTCCTAGGTGGAAGTTGGGGGGGAGACACCCAGTGGCTTTCTTGGGTTATCTTAATATATATCTGCATTGTAATCCTTGTTCTACGTCGTACGTTGTATTGCATGACTCCATCGTCAGTTTTTTAATGTTATTGGCAATTAGAAAGATTCTTCTGTATAACTAGGTTGCATAAAGCCATGAGAGTATATTTAATCACGTACGCTATTTAAAAACATATGCCTGCGATTTATGGGAGACGAGTGCCCAGGCAAGCCAGGTTATATTCAGATATGCACGCGTATCACCTGAAGTGTGAGAAACATGCTTCAGGAAAACCGTAATATACTGAAATTCTAGTTAGGGGCTCTTGCACACATGACCTGAAAAAAAAGGTGTGTCAACATATTGCAGCCATGATGGTCTTGGTGTCCAAATCTCTCTCATTCTTCGGAAAAAAAGTCAGTATGTTCAGTAACGTCAAGTTTTTCTGAATTGACTTTTCGAGATTTAAAATGTCAGTTGTCTCGTGGTAAATGATTTGTTTTTTGGGTCATTACGAGTCATCGGGTTTTTGGTACTCAGGATTTGTTAATTCTGCGATATATTCGCCAATCCTTGGCCTGGGCAGTAGCGCTCGTACGCCAGGCAGTTCTTCACCGTCCGCCCGTACTGAGCAGCCAACTGCAGGTCTCGTACTACAGCTGCCTGACCCTTGTCGACCTCACCCAGCATGTCCTCGGTCACCTGGCTGTCAGGGTAAAGCTTCAGTCAAGTCAGGTCAAAAACTGAGTCTAGTCAGGAGTCTAGCACAAAAGCTTAAAGTTTCAGTATAGAATTCAGCTATTTACTTCTATATGTAAAAATAAGATCAACATCTATACAAGTTACTCCGATATGGAACAAAATCCTGTACCCTGACCGGTGTTGTTGACCTGTGTGTTCTGTTGTGGCGAGTCACGTGACTCTGAGAGGAGATGAAAATGGGGAGACTGCAGGTATAGTGAAGAAACAGCTTGGGAAAACTGCAGGTATTGTGAACTGCAGGTATTGTGAAGAAACAGCTTGGGAAAACTGCAGTTATTGTGAACTGCAGGTATTGTGAAGAAACAGCTTGGGAAAACTGCAGGTATTGTGAACTGCAGGTATTGCGAAGAAACAGCTTGGGAAAACTGCAGGTATTGTGAACTGCAGGTATTGTGAAGAAACAACTTGGGAAAACTGCAGGTATTGTGAACTGCAGGTATTGTGAAGAAACAACTTGGGAAAACTGCAGGTATTGTGAAGAAACAACTTGGGAAAACTGCAGGTATTGTGAAGAAACAACTTGGGAAAACTGCAGGTATTGTGAACTGCAGGTATTGTGAAGAAACAACTTGGGAAAACTGCAGGTATTGTGAAGGGGAAAAAATCTGGAAATTGCACACTTCATGAAGAAAGGAAAAAGCTCGACTGTCATTATCGTGAAGGAAAAAAACTCAGTAAACTGTCCTTATCATGGAGAAGGAAAAAATACTCTAACCAACATGTATCATGAAGAAAAAACTGTAAACAACATGTACTATGAAAAAACTGTAAACACGTATAATAAAAAAAATTGTAAACGTGTATCATGAAGGAAAAAAACTCTACAAACCGTAGGTATCATGAACAAAAACTGAATAAGAAAGGGGTTACCCGAGGAGATGTTTGAGTGTCTCAGAGACAGGGAAGTTGACGTGGCTTGCTGTGGGAAGATGAGCCTCACACACCAGACTACGACGACAGTCTTGTCCCTCTATGTTGTAGAGTGCCCACGCCTGCTCCAGCAGCTCCACCACGCCCAAGTACACGCCCCCGCTTTTGTCTTGCCTGTAGTTGCCACCTGCGGGAGGATTATACTTAGGGAAGGGAGCGTAGTCTATCAGGATCATGCGGCTACTAAATAATGGGAAGGTAAGAGGGTTGGTTTAAGGAATGGGAGGATAGCTGACGTAACATCTATATTAGTGGTGATGCTTGTGTGATGGTGATAAGGCAGTAGGAAAGAGGATAGTGGTTTTCCCCCTCACCTATATGGTTGGATATCTCTTCCCGTGTTCTTCCAGTAACTACCAGCATCGATAGACTTACTAGTCACCTTTTACACGTTTCCAGTAGTCACCTTTTAGACTTGCTCCACCTCCAACTAGTACATCCCAGTTTATTCCCCGGTGGATCCCGGTAGTAACGGGGTTACTGGTTTAATTTTCCTCCCATTAATGTTCCTGTGTTCCCATGTACGGAGCAGAGAACACATTAACCCAGCAGTGCAATCTGGAGGGGCAACGCTGACTGGCGATGAAAAGACACTGGTAGCAGTGACTTTCACTGGTATAACTTTTCACCCATGAGTGGATTTTCCCAAGTAACTGACTTGAAAAAATCCACGTTATACCAATAAAGAATTCCTTTATAACCTGTTTTTCAGTAGTTCAGCTGTCCTCAGATCTCATCATCTGTTACCATTATCATTTCATTCCCTTCCCCACCCCTAGTAACTTTCCTCATACAATGTTCTCTGGTTCCCCCAGTTCTACATTCCCAGTACCAGTGAACCTACCTTTATACTCCCAGTTCTTCTTCTTCAGCTTTTCCTCTTGGACTAAGTAATAGAGATAGAGCGCCACGGCGGTGACGACGAAAAAAATGCCAAGAACCAGGCCAGCCGTAGTGACGAGGGTGGTGGCGTTGTAAGCATAGACGAAGAATCGAGCCTCGTCTGCCGCCGCCTGCACCAGGGAGAGGCGAGCTGGGTCCTGGGTGTCCATCACGTCTGTCACAGAGACAACACAGTGTGAGACACATGTAGAAAATATTCACATTATTAATGGGGGAATCAGTGAACCAGTAAGAGTGGCAGAAAGTCTGAGTGGGAGGGGGGAGGGAGGAGAGGCAGCCAGGCCGCAGAAAACAAAAATAATAACTACTAAATATGTCCCTCGTGGATCAAGTAGTAAGTTCAAGGTATAAGCTGGTTTATTGTCTGGTTCCAGTTTGTAGATCAGTTATTTGTTTCATTTACGGCATTGTGACTTATTCTTCCTGTAGATGGGAAACCGAGGGAAAGAAGTATATGTACTGTCATATATGAATTAGTGGGGCGTGAACACTCACATTCTGGGCACCGCCTCTCAGCCAACAATCAAGTGGTGTTTTGGTCCCCCAAGCCGTGTGTGTCGGTTGTCTTCAACCCGTTAAAACGGCGGCTTTCAAGCACTACTCTCACGCTTAAAAATTTGCTGTATATATTTATCTGAGGGCGAGTCATCCTGGTAGCAACCCTCGAGAACTACTTGTTTGTGCGCCTCATTGTCTTCTCTTAGTCCTCCTTTAATCCATCAGCGGGAGATTCATCTCCTCGAGTCTGTCTTAATACCGCAATTTTGGTTTGGAGACGAAATGAGGAATAAATATCTACATTTAATGTGGAAAAAGACGCATGTACAGTTCAGGACATTTATTAGAGGACACGTTTCGCCACTAGTGGCTTCTGGACCGAAGAAGCCACTAGTGGAGAAACGTTTCCTGAACTGTGTGTGTTTTTTGTCTATATCTTGTTGGTATCACCATACCAGTTTTTCACCCACGTTTAATGTTTTCCTTGGGAAAGTGTGTCACTGCAGGAGGTACATATTTTGCATGTAGCGTACAACAGGGATTTAATGTTAAGACTCCTGAACGCTATTCACAAACTCAACCTTGCATATGCTTTCGAAAATTGCCTTGTTTATGTGCTCCTGGTAGTAATTTTAGTGATATATCCATCAGTAAGACACATGTACAACACTAGGGTCTTTATCTTGACTGTCGAAACGTATCGCCTAAGCAGCAGGCTTCTTCGGTCGAATATAGAAGAAGGTGGACACAGCGCAAGAAGTGGAGAGATTATTGTAAGATGTTCAGTCCCTTAGCCTTGATCATTTATCCCTCGCCAGGGAATCGAGTTTTTTCTCTCAGTTGATACGGAGTCCTTAACCTCTTGGCTGGCATCTTCCACTTCGCCCCTTGTTTGTTAGAATAGAGTTCCTCTCGCAATTCGTTTATCTTTAACGTATCTTACCGAGATCCACTTGTAACTGTTTGCAATCTTCTGTTTCGTTAGCTTACCATCATTCGCAAATATCAGTGCTGAAGAGTATTCGCAAATATCAGTGCTGAAGAGTATTCACAAATATCAGTGCTGAAGAGTATTCGCAAATATCAGTGCTGAAGAGTATTCCAAATATCAGTGATGAAGAGTATTCGCAAATATCAGTGCTGAAGAGTATTCGCAAATATCAGTGCTGAAGAGTATTCGCAAATATCAGTGCTGAAGAGTATTCGCAAATATCAGTGCTGAAGAGTATTCGCAAATATCAGTGCTGAAGAGTATTCGCAAATATCAGTGCTGAAGAGTATTCGCAAATATCAGTGCTGAAGAGTATTCGCAAATATCAGTGCTGAAGAGTATTCGCAAATATCAGTGCTGAAGAGTATTCGCAAATATCAGTGCTGAAGAGTATTCGCAAATATCAATGCTGAAGAGTATTCGCAAATATCAATGCTGAAGAGTATTCGCAAATATCAATGCTGAAGAGCATTCGCAAATATCAATGCTGAAGAGCATTCGCAAATATCAATGCTGAAGAGCATTCGCAAATATCAATGCTGAAGAGTATGAGCCCAAATGCTGATTCCTGAGAGACGCCTTTGTTTACCTCCTTGCATCCTCACAGCTTACTGTGACTGCTGTCTCTTCGTCAGACATTCAAGCATCCAGTGACGTGTATATGAGCATTAACGTGATGCGTATGTGGTGGCCTGGTGGCTAAAGCTCCCGCTTCACACACGGAGGGCCCGGGTCCGATTCCCGGCGGGTGGAAACATTTCGACACATTTCCTTACACCTGTTGTCCTGTTCGCCTAGCAGCAAATAGGTACCTGGGTGTTAGTCGACTGGTGTGGGTCGCATCCTGGGGGACAAGATTAAGGACCCCAATGGAAATAAGTTATTCCTCGATGACGCACTGACTTTCTTGGGTTATCCTGGGTGGCTAACCCTCCGGGGTTAAAAATCCGAACGAAATCTTATCTTATATTACCTACATGGGAGAGCATTAAAATAACATTTGTTCGGATTTTTTAGCCCAGAAGGTTAGCCATTGAGGATAACCCAAGAAAGTGCGTCATCGAAGACTGTCTTATTTCCATTGTGGTTCTTCAATCTTATCCTCCAGGATAGGACTCACACCAGCCGACTAACACCCAGGTACGTACTTACTGCTGAGTGAACAGGGACAACAGGCGTAAGGAAACATGCCCAGCGTTTCCACCTGTGCCGGGGATTGAACCACGGAGTGGTGTGAGGCGAGATCATTGCCAACCGAGCCACGAGAACAGTAATGTGATGATACGTACGTAATGACGTAGAACACTGAGGGAGGGGGCAGTCAGTTAGTTACTTGGTAACGGTGTGGCGGACACGCTTGGCGCACTCATGTACCAGACGGGTGCTGCTGGCCCACACTCCTCCCAGTTCGTGTTTCTCTCTCTCTCTCTCTCTCTCTCTCTCTCTCTCTCTCTCTCTCTCTCTCTCTCTCTCTCTCTCTCTCTCTCTCTCTCTCTCTCTCTCTCTCTCTCTCTCTCTCTTTTTCTCTCTCTTTGTCATAACGATGACCGGTAATGTAAATTCGACAAAACTACTTCCTTAATAACGAGGAACAGAGAGAGAGAGAGAGAGATAGAAAGTAACTACAGGACTGAACTACCGCTGGGGAAGGAATCTGGTTGATATTCCGCTATGTTGTAGTCATCTACACGAATTGAAGCGAAGGAAAAATATTGAATGTATATTATCCTTCACATGCTGTGTTTTTTCTGTTGCTGTAACTGCTGCTGCTGCTGCTGCTGCTGCTGCTGCTGCTGCTGCCGCCGTTTTGGCTGTTGCTGCTGCTTTCTGTTGAATTTTCTGCTGCTGCTGGTTTCTGCTGATGCTGTTACTAATACTACTACTGTTGCTGCTATTGCTGCTGAAGTTTCTGCTGTTGCTGTTAGTGATGCTGCTGTTATTGCTGCTGTTGATGCTGCTTCTGCTATTACTACTACTACCAGCACCTGCTATTACGGCTACTGCTACCACAGTTTGCTGTCGGTAATGCACTATTGAAATTGGTGTTCCCGCAGCCTAGGTTGCTCCCTAACCTCTCTCCTGCCCACATTGACATTTTAGACACTTGGGAAATCATTACAATTGTCGTAGAAACAATTTCGTAAAGTGGCTGCAAATCTTACACGATCCTCGTCTCTACGGGGTGAGAGAGACCCAGGGACTCTTAGTGTTTACTGAGACTTAGTTTTCAAGGGGAACCTCGCCACTGTCGACTACCACTGGCAAAAGGAAAAAAAACACCACTACTAGCCATTAACACCATCACCGCCACCACTGGAAGTAACTGATAAAATATGGTTATAAACGATCATAATTTTTAAAGGGGTGGAAGGGTAAGCCAGCTGAAGGCCTCGGTCAGATGACCTAAAGCTCCAACGGCGAGTCATCATCTCATTATAACCAGCGTTAGGAAACGGTTGTCCTGTTTCCTGACGAACCTTATCTAACCTAGAAGTAACTAACACCGCCTTCCACCACGACCACCACCCAAAGTTAGCACCATCACTAATTCCACCTATCACTACTCTCACCACTAGTCACCACCAGTATCACCAGCACTACCAGCCACTACCACCAGCAGTGATGATGATCTGTACATTGTGGGAGTAGAGAGACTTATGTTATTGGCTGGAGTAACCAGTGCTAGACATACTGGAACCTGGCCATAGGTGGTACAGGACGGTTGCCACCCGAGTGTTGCTGGCCACAGGTGGTTCGAGATACCTGCAACATGACTGTTGCTGACCGCAGGTGGTTCAGGACGCCTGCCACCCGAGTGTTGCTGGCCACAGGTGGTTCCAGATACCTGCAACATGACTGTTGCTGACCGCAGGTGGTTCAGGACACCTGCCACCTGGGTGTTGATATCCCGTGAGTGAAGATATATATACAAGTATTAGTGCATGAGTGTATATAATAGGTGTGTACGAGTGTATATACATTTGTACTGACACAAGCGCTGACTGACCTTCAAGCGCTGACTAACCCTCAAGGGCTGGGTTAATATTGAGGTTCTGTTGTACAATTTACCCCATCCCCCCTAGCTCCGTTTTCCGTTTCCCCTGTTACCATTTGTTTTTCATTTTTTCCTGTTTTTCTGCTCCTGTTTTTCCCTCTCCGTCTTCCCTGGGGTATATTGCTACTGTTCCTTTCCTGTTACTGTTTCTCTGTTTATTGATGCTTCTCTGTAAATACCCTTAATGTTATTGTTTTTATTCCGTTTAATACTGTTTTTTTGCTATCTCTGGATTTAGTTTCTCCATTTCTCTCATTTTTTCTCTACTGTTTTTTCCGTTTCTCTGGGTACCGTTTTTTCTGACTGTTGGCTTCCTTAAAAAAAATTTCTTCTCAAAAATCTATTAATTACCTATAAACAATTGTCAATTTGATGCGGCATTCGCCTTATTAATTGGGCCATCGCCTGACCAATTTCGATCCCGTTAGTGGCCTATTTTCCAATTTATTTTTGTCAATGATAACTTGGCTGGATGTGGCCATTTACCGAGACTTTAATGGTTACCTTGGTTAATGGAGGGAGTTTGAAGGCTATCGACTAGACGAGGGTCATTAAAGGCTGCACGTAACCTGTTCACCACACGTCTAATTATTATCCGTTGGAAA